AAAGAGAAAGTTCTGTACCTGGGTTATAGATTAGAATGGAATGTGCCAGAAGAAACAGTCCAGGGTTCCTGTCCTCTAACTTCATCCCCCTTTCGTTTCAACCCCCAGACAAATCCCGAGCCGTGTCTACACCACTATGCTGAAGGTGCTGTCATATGTAGGAGAGGCAACTCCCAGGAAAGAGGCTGCCCTTGAAATCCCCACCAACAGGAGACCTGGAGAGCGAGGTCTTTCCAAACGTTTTCCAGCGGAGAGGGCCCAGGTCGCTGCAGCGCACTGGCCTGGCTGAGCTGTAGGAGGGCCCGGGTGGGTCTGGAGATGTCGATCCTCACAGGGAACCAGGCGTTCGGTTTGCAGAGGGGCTCACGTGCTGGCACCAACCCCCCGCTGCCTCTGCTTCAGCCTGTCCAGCCTTGGCATCAGGGCTGTTCAAGCTCCAGAAATGTGTCACCAGGCCAGGTGCCCGAGACCTGAGGGCAATAACGTTGGCATTTTGTTTCTTCTTTTAACTTTATTTTTTCTTTTCTATGGGAATACAGATAATTTTCCATGTGTTCCTTTTCAGTATAGACCAACCCGATTCCTTCATACATATATCCATTGTTTTTCAGATTCTTTTCCCATACATGTTATAACAGTGTGTTGTGTGGAAACCATGTGCTATACATTCTGCACTTCTTGATTATCTAATTTAAATATGTAGCTATGTATATGTTAACTTAAACTTCCTAGGTTATCCTTGCTTCCTGACCTTTGTTTTCTGATAACAGTACATTCCTTTTTGAACTCTGGGTGTCTGTCTGTCTTATTAATGAGTTCATTTCTATCCATTCTGAGATTGTAAGCATAAGTGCTATCAGTGGCAAGTTGTTGTTTTTCTGTCCGACTTCCGTCACTCAGTGTTATGTTTCGGTCCACTGATGTTGCTGGAAAAGGCATTGTTTTATTCTTTATGACCGAGGTGTATTCCATTGTATGTATATATGTGTGTGTGTGTGTGTACTGCATCATCTTAATTGAAACTATGTCTAGATAGACATTTTCTTTTCTTTCATCTCTTGGCTGTGATTTGTCTTTGCACCTGGGTCCAAGAGTGAGATGGCTGGATCACGTGGTACCTCTCTTGTTCATCTTTTAAGGAATCTCCATACTGCTCTCCATCATGGCTGTTACCAATTTTCACCCCCCCTCCAAAAAGGGCATAGGAAAGTTCCCTTTTCTGCATGCCTTCTCCTCCATTTACTGTTTATAAATTTTTGGTGATGGCCATTCTGTTTGGTGGGACATGATACGTCTTTGTCGTTTTCATTTCCTTTCCCTGAAAATGAGCCATGTTGGAGCATAGGGAGTTTAAAAATTTAAAAAACAAAACACCCATGTTGTGCTTTAAATGTACGCTTGAGATTGGCTTCTTCAAGACTTACCCTGTTTTGAATTCTTTTTCAGTTACCTCCCCAAGACATTCCTTAAGGCAAAGTGTTTTGGTTTTTTTTTTAATAACCCTGCAGGCCTTGTGAATTGGAGAAGGGAACAGCTACCCACTCCAGTATTCTGGCCTGGGAAATTGTATGGACAGAGGAGCCTGGCAGGCTAAGGTCTATGGGGTCGCAAGGAGTTGGACACGACTAAGCGAGACACTTGTAGATCAGCAGGGAATGTGCAAGAAGTAACAGTCCAGTCCTGTCTCATTACTTCTTGCACCTTACAATTCAAGCTGCAGACAAGTCCCAAGCCCTACCTACACCCTAAGCAGAGGACGCAGTCACACGCAGGAGAGGCGACTCCAGGAAGGAGGTTACCCCCGGGGACCCCCCGCCAGGAGACTCGGAGAGCAGGGGTCTTTTCAAAGGTTCTCCAGCCCAAAGGGCCCACGTCACTGCAGTGCACTGCGCTTGGCTGAGCTGTAGGGGGGCCCGTGAGGGTCTGGAGATGTGGGGTCCTCATGGGGAAGCGGGCGCTCGGTTTGCGGAGGGGCTTACGTGCTGGCACCAACCCCCCACCGCCTCCGCTCCACCCTCTCCAGCCGTGGGACACAAGGCTGTTCAAGCTCCAGAAATGTGTCACCAGGCCAGGTGCCCGAGACCTGAGTGGAATATCACAGGCATTTTTTCATTTTAAATTTAATTTTTTTATTTTCTACAGGAACATGGATGGTTTTCCATATGTTTCTTTTTCAGTGTACACCAGCTTGATCTGGTCATGCATATGCACATAATAAGTGTTTTCATGTTCTTTCCCATACGTATTATCATAGTATACTGAGTGGGGTTCCCTGATCTGTGCAGTAGGTCCATTCTGATGATCCAGTTTAAATACATTACTGTAAATAGTGTAATCCCAACTCCCTAGTTTATCCATGTCTTCTTACCTTTCTTTTTTAGTAACCGTAAGTTTCTTTTTCAACTCTGCGGGTCTCCTCTGCATTTTGTAAAGAGTTCATTTGTGTGCATTCTGAGATTGCAGGCATCACTGATATCATTGCCTATCCGTCATTCTTTGTCTTATTACAGTTGTAGGATAAGCTGCAGGACCATTCATTTTTCTGCCACTGGCAGTATTGCATTCATTGTCTTAATTCCCGTGTGTATATATATGCCCTGTGTCTTCTCTGTCTGTTCCTCTGTGAGGTTAGCTTGCTTTTATCTTTTAGCTGTTGTCAGTAGTGGTGCAGTGACCACTGGGGTGTATGTATCCTTTCAAATTCTTGTGTTCCGACTACTGCTCAGCAATGGGATTGTTGGATGATATGGTACTTGTAGTTTTAGTTTTTTAAGAAACTTCCAAAGTGTTTTCCATAATGGATGTACCAACTTATATTCCTACCAACAGGAGATATTCCTTTCTCTGTACATTCTGTCCAGGAGTTATCGTATTTAGTTTTTGGTGGTGGCCATTCTGAACTGAGAGCTGATATTGTGATTTGCACTGTCTCCATTATTAGTGATATTTAGCATCTCTTCATGTGGTTTTGTCCATCTGTATGTGTTCTTATGAGAAATGTGTACTTAGATCTTCTGCACATTGTCTAATTGGATTTTTTTATTTCTTTGACATGTGGCTGCATGAGCTCTTTGAATAATTTGGAGATTAATCCCCTGTTGGTGCCACATTTCTAAATTTTTCCTTCCTTTTATGGGTTGCTTTGTGTTTTATTTATGGTTTCCTTTGGTGTGCAAAAGGTTTTAAGTTTAATTAGGTCCCATTTGTTTATTTTTGTGGCTTTTTTTTCATTACTTTAGGAGGTGGTTCAAAAAAGATATTGCTGCAATTTATTTCAAAGAGTGTTCCACCTACATTTTCCTCTAATAGTTTTATAGTGTTCCACTGTATATTTCAGTCTTAGGTCCATTTTGAATTTATTTTTGCGTGTGGTGTTAGAGAATGTTCTAATGTCATTCATTTGCATGTCACTGTCCAGTTTTCCTAACACCACTAATCTGTGTCTTATAGTTTTCAGAGTACTTTTGTCTTCCTAGGTAGGTTTACTCCTAGGTATTTTATTTGTCTTGTTCCAATGGTACATGGGATCGTTTCCTTTATTTTTCTTTCTGATCTTTTCCTATTAGTGTATAGGAATGCTGGTGTCATCTGTGTATTAATTTTGTATCTTCCATCTTTACTGAATTCATTGATGAGCGCTCATAATTTCCTGGTAGCATCTTTATGATTTTCTATGTGTAGTATCATGTTATCTGCAAACGGGGACAGTTTTACTTCTTTTCCAACTTGAATTCCTTTCATTTCTGACCAACTTGGCTAAGTCTTCTAAAACTATGTTGAGTAGAAATGGTGACAATAGACACCCAGGTCTTTTTCCTGATACTAGAGGGAATGCTTTCAGTTTTCACCATCAAGAATGATGTTAACTGTGAGTTTCCAGTTTTTTTTAAATACATAAAGAATACAGTTTTTCTTGTAAACTCATGTTGAAGTTCAATACTGAATATTTTTTCCAATTGTTTTTAATGTTGGAAGTGTGACATTTTTCATGTGTGTATCCAGTGGCAAGGAGTACAGTGGACAAAGGGTTAGATAGATTTATTTGTGTGTAAAAGGATGAAAAATCTCCCCCCAGAACTCTGAGGGGTCTTGGGAAGGTTCACTAAGTATTGCTGAATTTACTGTGTCAGCAGAATTCCACTTTTCCAAGGGCACATGCTCCAGGGGTCTGTGTAGTTCAGAGCAGCGCAGTGGAGCCTGAGGGAGTGCTCTAAAATAGGAGGTTGCTGCTTCCTTAGGAGAGGCCCTGTCTGCCTGCAAAGGCCTGGCCGGGCAGCTCAAAGTCCCAAGATGCAAGAATCAAATGTCTCTCAGGTGTTGAGACCACTTGCGCCACCATCAGAGAGCCAGAGGTTGATACCTTTGGTATCTTTTCTGGGTTTTTACAGAATTTAAAACAAAGACTCCTATCTACTTCCCTACCAGAAAAAAAATAGAAATGATAACACTAAAATGCTTCTCAAATACCCATTTCAGAGCTAACTTGAGAAGTAGGTATAAAGAACACTTTGAAGCAATAATGGATGAAATGGCAGCTTCGATACCTGCCATTTTCCCAAATGGACTGTTTACTCCCTGGAAGTAGTTTATATCCTGGAATGAACCTCAAGGTGAAATGATGTCATTTTTACTTGGTCTTGTTTGGGGTAAAAGATCAGATGTGTGACTGAAAAACTGAGACGTTGTCTCATGTTCCATAAAATTTCATTTTAACTCGCTTTTTTTTTACAATGGAACATCTTATACTAAAGGCAGCAGAATCCATGTAAAACATTATGAATATGCCTCAACTTAATTAAATCTTCCTACATTTTAAATTCTTCTTACTGCTACATAGGTTTGGGAGAAGAAACAAGGTAGTGATCTATATATAAATTGCCATATAGTAACATTAAACTTTATGTAAAGTTTTCATATTTATAATAAAAATTTGCAAGCCTAAGAATGTTAACACCAAGTCTTATGGAATAAAACAGTCACAAAACTGTGTACACCAAACATGATCAGTGAAACAAATTTTTTACTTACTAATATGAGAATAACAATTCTGGTAGGCATCTAGTCAGTCAGATTCAAACAAAATTTAGCAAACAAATAGCTATCACCTTTCTCCATTCCTTCTGCAAGAATAAAATCAAAGAGATGTTAACTGTTATTGTTACAAACAATACGATAATATTATTTTCTTCCATAATTGTGACAGGACAGGGATAATCAACAGTACAGAAAGTATGTTTTTGGCATTTCTTAACATATAAAATTTATCCCATATTATTATAGTGGTATCTGTTTAATAACATTATGCATTTAAAATCTGGGCCACTTGTTGTCTCTAATACGTTTCTGCATGACAGCATCTGGAATGTGTGGAGACACAGCTGCTGCAAAGTCATTTAACCAAAAAAAAAAAAAAAAAACCTGACTCCGATTTTACTCACATTTAAAAAATAAGATAACTAACAAATAAGGAGGGAAGGTGTAGGGCTAACTCAGTCACAGTCTAAAAGTTCTGCTGTTGATGACTTTTGTCTCGGAGTTAGCAAAACAGTTTGACTGACATAAACTGGATCTAAGAAATCACCCTTTATCTAAACAGAAAGTGTTCTATATTTTGAATGATTTACCTCTCTGCATACACTTAAGCCATAGAAACCCCAGCAGGTTTCCTTCCTGTTGTGTATCTGTCACGAGAGGGCTTTGGTTATAAACTATTGGGGTTGATACACTTCCTTAGACTTGGTGAAACGGCACACAGAAGTTACAGTGGGAACATTTTATTTCTGCTGACCTGCCAAAGCACCTTACAGTGCAGAGAATTTAAAAGCAGTGAAACAAGCGCACACACAGTAACCCCACCATAAGTCTTTCTGTTCCTCAAGGTTTATAAAATAAATTTTCATCACCAGTTAATCAGAGTTCATCAATCTACATCTGCAAAAAAAAAAAAAAAATTTTCTGCCAAAATGTTTTGTTATTTGGACCTTTTCAGATGACCCACAACAGGGCTGAAGGAAAAGTTCACAGGAGGAAGAGAATGAGGGTCCTCAGAAACAGGTCCGGGCTCCTGTGTAAATGCAGAAAAAGCTGCAGACCTAGTCTTCATTCAGTGATGATCCATTTTTTCCAACTTCAAGTTTACTGGTCCAGAGTCTCTTGGAGGTACGTTCCTTAGGAATCCAGGTAGGATGTCTGCTGTGTGTGTGGCAGCCCATAATTGTAACTCACTGTAGTCAAGTCGTGAGGCAGTGAGAGCTGGAACAGTTACATAAACACCACCATTCATAGCACAGATATGCCAGTGTGACGTGGGTAAGATCTCAATTTCCCGCGGAGTCCAGGACCGCAGTCCCAACAGGAGAGGGCTGCAGCCCGCCCCTCCTCCAGCGTGGAGGCGCTGTTCTCCCTGCTACCGTGTGACCTGAAATGAATTTTAAAAGTTAGCATCAGCACCCTAGACCCACCAAAGGGAATCCTTCCTCTTAACAGACCCAGAAGTCCCTGTCTGTGTCAGATGTGTACAATTTTTAATAGTCGGGCCCCTTTATCTGTAACCAACCTCTCCCAATCAGCTGTTGACATCAAATTCTTCTTTATATTTGTCGTCCTTTTAGGTTGCAGAGGAAAACACACCCAAAACATTCCACAACATGGTATTAGGCCCTAGTTCTGTATCTTGTGGGGTTTATAAAAAATCCCAGCAGATTAGGTATATTCATTGATCATCAAGGTAACTCACGCATGCTAAGACATACTTTTATTAACAGGACTAAACTTTCGTCAGATGAGTGCTGATTTAAATCTGTGTGTGTCAGGATCAGAATTGCCTTTGTTATATTTTTAAGGAGCCACTAAGTGCAAGGTAGTTAACTTTTGTTTTCAAAAATAGATTATTTTATAAAACTACAATATTTTCTGAAAATGTGGTGGTGGTTTAGACGCTAAGTCGTGTCTGACTTTTTGCGACCCCATGGACTATAGCCCGCCAGGCTCCTCTGTCCATGGGATTCTCCAGGCAAGAATACTGGAGTGGGTTACAGTGCCTTCCTCCAGGGGATCTTCCCAATCCAGGAATTGAACCCAGGTCTCCTGCATTGCAGGCAGATGCTTTACCAACTGAGCTATGAGGGAAGCCCTTTCTGAAAACCTGCATCCATTAAAAAATGTGTGGTTTCTTCCCATTACTTGGGATCTAAGAAAACGGGTCTGCAGTTTCTATAGTTTGATTTCATCATGTAATAAATTGTACAAGTTAATCAATACACCACCTAGGAATAAATAGAAGCATAATATGTTAACCCGCCTACACCATCGGCATACTCTTAAAGTAAATTATATTCTCTGATCACATAGTCATCATGACTGCTTGATAGTAATCATCCAATCAGGTATGTATTCAAACTTCAGATATGCTTTTAACTGACATAGTCCTTTATTTATGTATTCTACAACTGCTCTTTTGTTTGCTATATAGTATTCTCAGCACAAATAGTATTAAAACCCTTTCCTCATGAAACTTAGCTCAAATGGGGTAGATATAGTTTTTCTGTAGAACACCAAACAGTAAAATATTTTCAGTTTTACAGGCCACACAGTCACTGTTGTATCTGCTCTACTCAGCTTTATACCACGAAAGCAGCCAAAGGCAATACATAAACCAATGGCCACTGCTAGGTCCCAATAATATTGATTTTTTGGATGTTCAAATTGAAATTCACACAATTTTTGTGTTAAGAAATACATATTCGTTTTGGTTTTTACCCCAACCATTTTTTTAAAAAAAGTACAACTCATTCTTTCTCTGCTGTTTTAATGACCTGTGAGCTAAGGACTGGATTTGGCTTGTAAGACATAGCTTGCTGATAGCTAGTCTAGAGGAGAAGGGCTGGACACACAGGTAAATTACAAGTATAGCAAAAGGTGATATGGTCTATGGAGCCCAGGACTGGGGCAGGGAGGGGAGAAGGAGGTACCTACAGAGAAACTTAACAGACAGAATGGAGCCCTGACTACTTGAGGGAAGACCTGTCCAGGGAGAGGGAGACACAGAGATGAGACAGGAAGTGTGGTTCCAGGCTGTCAACTCAAGGGAGACCTCTTGGGCTGAAGTGGTCAGAGGGGGAGCCAGCAGGACCGTGACCAACACAGGGTGCGCAAGAAAGGCATCGGGGACAACTCTCGGGCCGACGCTCACTCTCAGGGTCCTCGTCTGCTAAATGAAAACCAGGAGCATCTACCCTCCTGAAGTTGTTGTGAGAGGGTGTGCTCGCTGCCTGTCGGGTTAGCGCTCAAGGAACAGTGACTGTTGTCACGGTAGGTCTCCCTGGATCTTTCTTTCATGCATCTGTTTCAAACACAACCATCTTGCTAGTCAGCCAAGTAGCAGTCTACATCTAGGATGGAATTCTCAAAAGCATCTTATTTGAGGAAGCTCATTCTCCACACCCAACCCGTTTGGGAACCTTTCTGCACTGACGGTTGGATAAGGTACTTTCAGATTTAGCTGCTTTGAAAATTTTTGTCTTGCTGATTGTAGGTGGAAGGTGCATTGTTATCTTGGTGGATAAAAGGTTGCTATCGTGTCGATATTAGCTCCACCGTCATTAACACTGTACCCCAAAGAGTTCAGGCTCTGGCTGTAGGGATCAAAGACGGTAAGACTTCAGGATAAAAGAGTCACCTCGGCTCAACTTTGAAAGACAAGTAGGCCTGAGCAGTGGGAGGGGATGGAGAGGAAGGTGAGGACACACAGGCCTGTCTGGTGCGTGGCTGTGAAAGCCCAGCCCAAGATGCTTATGTTCTGTATCTTCTAGCAGTTACCAAGGGAAATCCATCGATGGTTCCAGGGACTTCACCCTGGTGGCACAGAAAGCCAAGATGAAGGCAGGAATAGAGAGCAGGTAGGGGTCTCGAAAACCGGGGGTATATTGTTTGCTCATCGGAATCTCTCTAAGAACATTTGTTTTTAAAGTATGGTTTTCTAAACCCCATCCCAGAACATCCTAGAATGAGGCTCAAAATAGTTGTGTTTTTAAAAAGTTCCCATGATGATTGTTCTACAGCCACTGGTATCATCAGACAATTATAACATGGTGGTAGGGCGGTACAGGATGACCCGCTGCAGTAGACCAAGAGCCAGGGAGAAAGGTATCAGTTAGGGACCAGTGAGGAAGGTACCAGAGGAGTCGGTCAGCTTAGATCCTGAGGGAGAGGGAGGTGTGGAAGAGAGTGTCTTATACCCCCTACCTCTAGCTTTTCCAGAATGAAATATTGCAAATGCTTGGATACTTAATAGAAACTCTGAAGAATAAAGGGAAGCAACGGAATCAGGTAGGATACTTACACACACAGTTACCAAAAGAACTACCCTATTGTATGAAGTAGTCTTTTTTCCAGCTTTAGCACCACTGCTATGTGGGGCTGTATAACTCTGTCGTGGGGACGGCCCTTTGCATTTCAGGATGTTGAGCCGCATCTCTGGCCTCTAACCACAGAAGCCCACAGCAACCCCCTCCCCAGTGTGTGACAACTAAAAACATCCTCAGACATTGCCAAATATCTCCTTGAGGACAAAACTGTTCCTCCGTGGGAATCACCACTCTCAACGCATACTTCTTTCCTCTTAGAGGTCTTAAAATTAGGAACATGTAAAAATCTAAAACTTCCCAAACTTCAACATGATTTGCTTGTATTTGCAAACCACAAAAAAGCCCTTCAAACCATTGCCTGTGGTGCTAAGAAGACACTGCACACTTGTAAGGAGCCTTAATACCGACAACTCAAATAGGGAGAAATGATTTAGCACGTTTAGCAATGCAGGAGATCCTGGTTTGATTCCTGGGTCAGGAAGTTCTGCTGGAGAAGGGCTAGGCTACCCACTCCAGTATTCTTGGGCTTCCCTGGTGGCTAAAGAATCCATCTGCAATGTGCAAGACCTGGGTTCAATCCCTGGGTTGGGAAGACCCCCTGGAGAAGGGAATGGCTACCCACTCCAGTATTCTGGCCTGGAGAATTACATGGACTGTATAGTCCATGGGGTTGCAAAGAGTTGAACACAACTGAGCAACTTACACTTTTCACCTTCAGGTAATAAAACTCAGAATTTAATTAAGGAAAATCAAGGCAGGATGTCAGAGAAGTTAGATTTCCCCCAACAAAGCAGTACCTGCCTCCTCTCTGGGGATATTGAAAACAATACAAGCAGAATCAACTCTGTCTGCCTTCCTGGTTAGGGAGCTGTCCACTCTCATGTTCCTATCTTCATCTAAGACTATTCATATCTCAGGTTGACTGCTAACTTTGCTACATTTGCATTTCAGTGGAAAAGAAAATTTGGACCTAGATTCCTGACAGTAGCTAATCTTTTTCTTTTAGTCCTTCTGTTTTGATGCTGCTATGCATGGACTGTTAATGAAAACAGAAACTATTTTGCTATATAGTTAATAATACCCCCTTGAGACAGGTAAGTGTTCTACCTTTATGGGACTGTGGTCTCACCTAGGGTGTGAGGTCCAGTGTCAATTTTAAGACACAGCTTTTGTGAGCTCGAAGCCAGTCACCACTCCACAAATGAATTTACTCTCTGTGCATAAGCTCCATAAAAGACATAAAATGTTTTATATAGTTCAAATCACACTGACTTGGATTACTAAAGGAAACAAAGTTTTATGACTCCAAGATTATTCTCCAATGCTGTGTCACAAAAAAGGAAAAGTAGCTATGTATCATGAGGGCTGGGGGAACTGTAATATGCTTCTGCAGCTCTTCACGGCGCTAAATGAAATGTCACTGCCACTGAGATTCGCTAGAGCAAACGCCTAGTCCCAGCCCACAGAGGTGCCACACCCCTCCAGGCCCACTTCGCGCAAATAGCCTCGCTAACTGTACGGCAACAGCAGGGAGCCCCTCAAGCAAGCGGCTCCTGAGATGCATTCTGTCCCAGGACATAGCTGCCTGGCGCTCAGTCTCATTTTATATTTCTGTGTAAGAGTCAGTACAAGTATCATCTTGTAAAACATTATTTCTTAGTCTACAAGAAACATGAAGAAGGAAAGGTTTATGGTTGATGGATTTAAGACCCTAGCTCCTTGGCCACTGCAAGATTTGGATTTCGGAAGAGGGGCTGGTGGGGGCCCACGGGAAAGGACAGTGGAATTGTCTTAAGGCAGGATTTGCTTACCAGGCACACTTGGGTTTACCCAGATCGAAAGTTTATGGGAGCGGGTTAGAAGAGGAGCTGATAAAAATGATGGCAGTGTTGGAAATAGTGCTGCAGTGACCATTGGGGGGTGCATGTGTCTTTTGGAATTATGTTTTTCTTAGGGTATAACACAGGGAGCTCACCGTGGGGCTCTGTGATGACCTAGAAGGTGGGGAGTGGGAAAGAGGTGATAGATGTACACATATGGCTGATTCACTTTGTTGTAGAGCAGAAAATAACACAACATTGTAAAGCAATTATACTCCAATTTCTTTTAAATGATGGCAGTTATTAACTTCCTTCCTCAACCAACCACCTCCATGAACTTCTTCTGCCCTGCATAAAAAAGCATAGATCAGGCCATTTAACCTAGTGATCATGATATCACTAACAAGGACAGCTTAGTTGATAATTGTAATTAATGTTAAAATGGTCTTGATTTTGAAATTATTTTACCTACATAATAAAGAATAAATCAGACAACTTACTAGACTATTAATAATCTGAGATAAAGATCAGCTAAAATTTACATGTAAAGTTTATTTTTAAATCTGGTTTTACAATAGTATGTTTTAGACTTAATCTTTTATTAATGAATCATGTAAATATTTATAAGATTTATTATAATACCTGATATGCACACATAGGAGAACTCACCTGTTCTTGCCTTCAGTGGCTGAAGATGACTGAGAACTTGAGTGATTCAAAACGCTCATAAAGGGCAAAAATGTAAGCCAGGTGGGAAACTATTGAAGAGAGATTATACCTCCTTGGGGGGGTCCAAAGCTGGCGCAGTAACCAGCACTAAAGAGTCATTCCATTCCAGTGTGTTTAGCTCATTAGAATCCTCGACTCAACTGTTTTATGAATTTTTGTACAATAAACAGTGCAGAGATATTCAGCCAGCTCTGGGACTACTGGGTGAGCGACCAGCAAGGGGCCCTGACTTCACCGCTCTCCTCCCAGACAGGGAGCGGACAGTATGAAGCAAGTAAGTAGAGCAATGCGTGTGAACTGAAACCATTTTACATGATGCGCTCAGAGAGTCAGGGGATGTGAATCCTATCAGTGAAGGATTCCCTGAATAATGGTTTCTTTCTAGAGAAGAATGGCAGAAAGCGCATTCCTTTGCAGCTGGAAAAGCACCACAGGAAGAAGGACTAACCAAGGCTGAGATGGTTGGAGCAGAAAGAACGAAGGTAGGTACCCTGCAGAGTTATTTAGTGAGGGCCACACAAGCAGAGGTGAGATAAGGAACAGAGAAGCCACTCAGAGATTCGGGGGTGGACTAGCATAGCAGATCTGCAATTCACAAAACTGACTCCATTCAATGGAGAACAGGCAGAAAGGGAAGCAAGAGTGGATATGAGGAAGCAACCTCGGTCCTCCAGACATAGGGGAGACCACCCAGGGATGGTAACTATGGTGATGCAGAAAGTGGGGTGGGGTGGGAGTACCAGTCCCTAAGCCAAAACAAGAGAGTGGACAGCAGGAGAGGAGAAAGAAGTTCAGTTTCTGGCTCGAGAACTGGGTAGAAAATGGAGTGTTTCAGAGAGACAACGAGAACGAGGATGAATGGGGAGGAAACACGACTTACAGGCTTGAATTGGAGTCTTCAGCCTGATTAAATCTCCTCCTAGGTGGCAGGTAGTCTGTTTCAGTGTGTCACCAGGGTGTGTGGTCTGGCCACGCTGGTTTGATGCACGGGACTGTCAGCTCTGAAACCTTTACTTTAAATCGGCCCGTGAAGGAGCTCAAATGAATTCAGGAGCCCTGCTTAAGATAAGGGATCCCTCCACCAGTCATGACTCCATAAATCTGAAATGGAGGCTGATGCTGAGAAATGTCCTCCAGACATAGGGGAGACCACCCAGGGATGGTAACTATGGTGATGCAGAAAGTGGGGTGGGGTGGGAGTACCAGTCCCTAAGCCAAAACAAGAGAGTGAACAGCAGGAGAGGAGAAAGAAGTTCAGTTTCTGGCTCGAGAACTGGGTAGAAAATGGAGTGTTTCAGAGAGACAACGAGAACGAGGATGAATGGGGAGGAAACACGACTTACAGGCTTGAATTGGAGTCTTCAGCCTGATTAAATCTCCTCCTAGGTGGCAGGTAGTCTGTTTCAGTGTGTCACCAGGGTGTGTGGTCTGGCCACGCTGGTTTGATGCACGGGACTGTCAGCTCTGAAACCTTTACTTTAAATCGGCCCGTGAAGGAGCTCAAATGAATTCAGGAGCCCTGCTTAAGATAAGGGATCCCTCCACCAGTCATGACTCCATAAATCTGAAATGGAGGCTGATGCTGAGAAACGGGCTTTTCACAGGGCCCGAGTCATAGAGAGGCATTGCGGGGGCAATGCTTTACCAACAAAACGTAACCCTCCCTCTTGGCGGCAGGATGAAATGAAGGGGGCAGGTTACAGGAGGCCGAAGCTGTCGAGTTCAGCTGTGTTCTGTTATACTTGCCTTGGTAGTTTTGACTTTGTTGCCGCTGCTACAGGACCAACCTGAGTAATCGGGCAGCACTCGGCAGTCCTCTCCTTCCAAACAAGGGTCCATGTGACACCACCATTTCTGAATCACAATGGAAGCTGGAAGACAAAGGCCATGTAACATTTGTGACGCCGTTTCTTCCCTCCAAATACAGGCAACGTAAAGCTCAATGCAGGTTAGTACACTGGCTTCCAAGACTGCGTATGGGTGTCACCATAAGTAAAGAATCCAGCCACCCATATATTTAGCAGAAAAACACTCTTTTTTTATGCAGTTGGCTATGATGTAGGAAGTAAGGTCTCAAACTGTGCAGCCTTCTTAAATTTCTTCACCTGTACAATGGGGAGAAAAATAGAGCCTCCCCAAAGGATGGCAAGAGGATACAGCCGATCTGTGTAGAAGTCCTGGCTGACTTTGCACCAGGTGACTGTGTTGTCAGGAAATGTTAACTGTCATTGTGTCAAGACTGGGAACACACAATAGTTTCATCCCAGAAGGTGCTCATCTCTCCATGCCATTCCAGCTAGGTGAGCAACCCCGAGTCAGCTGGGGAGCACTGGTACCCCTTCACAAGCCCACATTCTCGGCCAGTTAGCCGGCTTACCTGTGACTTCCCTTCACCGTGCCCGCGGTAGGCTGGTAGAGGACAAAGGTCCAAAGCTGGGGGTGGTGTGTATGGATTGGGGGTGGAAGTAGATTAACCTTTCATTGTTGTTTAAACAGTAACAGGTTGCTTTTTAAAAAAGTACCCCAGTGGATTCTACCACTGCCTCAGAACTCTGAAACTCAAGTTCACGAAAAAGGAGGCGTTACACAAGCCTAGCTTGGAGGAATCTGGACCACCACCATAAAGGAAGTGACACAACTTTATGACTTCCCAGTGCATATAAAAGTTAGGTTTACACTACCCTGTAGTCTATTAAGGGTGCAATGACACTGTATCTATTTTTTTAAAAAGCAAATCCTCAATGTATCTATACCTTAATTAAAAAAATATTTTACTGCTCAAAATTGCTAACCATCATCTGAGCCTTTAGTGAGTCATATTCCTTTTCACTGATAGAGGCTTTGAAGCATTGCAAAAATTGCCAAACTGTGAGACAAATACACAAAGTGAGCAAAGGCAGTTGGAAACATGGTGCTGATAGACTCACTCAATGCGGGGTTGCCTGAAACCTTCAATTTGTCCAAACGCAGTATCTGTGAAGTACAATAAAATGAGGCATGACTAAATCCTAACAGTTACTTTGTCGTGAATGCAGGACACCTTAAAAATGAAGGGAAGACACTTAGTAATTTCAAATTCATTACAATTCTAAGGTTAACAGTGGTTACTTTTTTCCTGTGTTATTTACAGGAGAGAAATCTGAGGTCCAGTGGTGTTAAGCAACCTGCCGAAAGTCCCCATTTTTGCAAGTAGCCAAAGGGCATTGAACAGAGGTGCCGAGTGCTAGGGAGTACATACCTTCTCTGCACGCAGCCACCATTCCAGGTTCTGACCCAACTCTGAGGTGTTACCCAGCAAGTCCCCTCCAAACCAAGAGTAGTGCCTGAGTAAGGCAGGTCTGTGGTCTAGAATAACCAACTGCTATTGAAATCAGAAGGTGCCAGCACTGAGAAGGGCATAGTGCTAAGTGGGTTTATCATGTCAGAGACTGAATTTGAGTGGAGGGACACACTGGGGTCAAGTCTAGGGAAGTTGTATTTTTTTCAGCCCCCAATATCACAACAGTTTCACCTTAAAATTGTACAGAGCTGGGTCATTTTGAAAGCACTTTTATGTACTGTTCTTCTTGTGACTGTCCCCAGAACCTTCAGAACCAAGACAAGGAGGCAGATGGTTCCAGACAAAACACCAGAGCTTTCCACACCGTGAGTAGTATCTGAATCTACACCCTGCATCCATCAATCTTTCTGCTTACACCAGAGTTTAAGGTCATAGTTTAGTTGAGTAAGCGCTCCACAGAGTTGACCATATTCATAGTGCTGACTAGTCATTCCTTATTTTCTGAATGCCTTAGTCTGGTCCTAAGTAGGTATAAAGATAAGTAAGAAGGGGTTCCCAACCTTCAATTTAAAATACCATCTTCAGGACAGAAAAGTTACTGAAATGTTGACAGACTTCGTTATATTTACACAGTTAAAATTGAACATGAAATAGTATTCAGAAAAATCTTTAAAACTGTTTCACAGACAAACTTTCTTCCACTCAACAGTGCAGACCTGTGTACTCCTGGCAGGTATCAGAGCTACATGGATGATTCAAAAGAAGCTCTGACAGGTGGCTAGAGATCTAAGTGAAGGTAAGAGGGACGGTGAGGGGTGAGCAAGGAAGCAATGGCCGTTCAGCTGAGAAGGGTGGTCAGGGAAACAAGCTTCAGGGGCTGTGGAGGACAGGTGAACACTTCTCTGAGCAGTAGGAAGCTCTGGAAAGCTTGTGACCTTCCCTCAGCCAGGAAACCTGTGTCCCTAGAAGATAAGAGATCATGTAGAACAAAAAGGAATCTGAGGGAAAAGACCAGCTGAGGTGAAGTGAGGTGAGAAGTCCAGGAATAAACTCCCTGCAGAGGAAATGGATGAAATCCAATTATCTCACCTTGAGAGCAGAGAAGTGCTAGTACCGCCTCACTGGATCATGGGGATCCAACACAATGCTGATGACAAATCTAAGAAAGGATCTTGAGGGGGAAAGATGATGGATTCAGGCATTCATCACAGACAAACAGGCCAATTCCTAACTACTGAATTGCCTAGTGTTTTGTTTAAAGATTGAACTGTAATTTATTTTAATCAATAAAAGAAGCATATATTGATACCACCAAGACCCTGCGAAATCCTTTACCAGGATCCTTTCATTTAATTGGAAAACACAGAGAAGAATTTCTAAAGACAGATTCGCAGCTGACTCCTGGAATGTAAAACACTGCTACTTGTAAAAAAAAGAAACCCTGTTCGCACTTGATAGAACACAAAGAGGGAGGGGTAGAGGCTGTATCTGGGAGAAAGGTTTCTGTGAAAGACTTAATCACCAGTGTTCTTTCAGGAAACAGAGACACAGTAAGGGCCACCCCGTAGCCAAAATACAAGTTTCAGATTCCTTTCGGAGTTAAGCATTGAGGAAAGAACTCGCAGTGAAGGGGAAAACCAGGCGGGGCTTGACCCGACAGAGAAGGGAGTATTGAACAGCCTGCAAGCGTCAGCTTGGCGTGCACAGTGGGTGGGGCTGTAGGCCGAGACAAAGGACGCAGAACTAGGATTCTATTAAAATAACTCTTGGGAACATCTGCCCACTTAGCTGAGTCTTGTCTCCGCAGGAAAATAAGTTTGTAGGAGGAATACATTTTTTTTTTCTCCCTGTTACCAAGTACCATAATATACTTCAAATGAGAAAGTTATCTTGTCACTTCTATTTTTAAAATGAAATTCTTTAAAAAGCCCCATGCCTTCCTGACTTAGGAAAACACAAAATATCCCTATCTCCAAGCTGCCGAGCTGTAACAAATTTCTGGTTTTATGCAGGAAAGGAAATTTTCAAAAAGACAGTGATGCTCCTGTTTTATGGTAGCAGTGAGTATTTCCTGTATGTTCTCTTGGGGGACAGTGCGACAAGGTGGCTGCGTAGCTAGGTAAAGCTGATGCACTGTCTTTTTCTCTGTTGTATAAAATAGATGGATGTTTTTGGTTTCTTGCCCTTGTTCCAAATAAACATTACTCAATACATACTCTCTTTTCTTTAATACATAATTATTTAGATAAGCCCACCTTCAAGTAAGACTAAAAGGCTCACTTCTCTATAGCTGGTCTCTCCTTTGTTGATTTGTTTTGATTGTTTTTACAAAGAGTTAAGGCTTTTCTAAAGAAAAGTGTGTTTCTACCCTGACACTATGGACAGAAAGGTTTAAGACTACATCTCCCTGAGGATATGTATCCCCTGGAAAATGGAAACAATCACAAGAACATCAAAACAAGAAGAGGCTTTGATGTATTTCATCTTTAGCTATTTTGCTCTTACCTGTGTTCTTTCAAGACACCTGACATGTTCCTTAAACACTAAGCCACTGATTAACTTTTAAGAGAGGTAGGTGGAAAACCTTGCCAATAGATATTCTTAATATTCAAGAAAGGAAGCTATTAGAAGCTGACCCAGGTAACATACATAAAAGCAATAGCTGGAGGACTATGATTTTTTTGTTTTTTAAGGAATCTTTTACTTGTTCACACATTTCACTTATGACCCAGTATTGTTATTTCCACAGAGTATGAAGCAAGGCTGTGGCTGAAGATACACACTCCTCCTCTGTGATCTAAGATGCATCTAAATGCCGCCACACACAGCAGAGACCCTGAAGGCTGGGCTTCTCGGCCTTGGCACTCCTGACATTTGGAGCCATCTAATCCTTCACCTCCGGGGTACAGCCTATGCATGCGAAGATATTCAGCAGCACGACCCTCTCCCCCAGCATAAAGACCAAAAGCGTCTCCAGACATTGTCACATGTTCCCAAGCTGGAGAAAACCAGCTGTGGTTGAACAACAGTGGTCTCCCGTCACCTACAGTTATGATCAGATGTCCTCAGCCCAGAACGAGAGGCTTTGCTAGTTCATCAAACCTCGTCAAAGCTTTGCCGGGTGAAAACACAACTCACTCTAAGTAAGTATCACATCACCTCTAGTCCCCGTCTCCCTTCTTCCCCCAAAGGGAATTCCACAAGTCTAACGTCTGCATGTCTCTCTGTCCCCTACAGACACACACATCCTGGGTTCACCATGACACCTATGCTGACAATCCATCTGACCTGTCAAATTCAGAAAGCACATTTTTCCTTCTGAGAAACCTCAGGGTATTTGATATGAACTTCGCTCACAGCAGAGCCTGCTTCATCCACTCTCCTTGAATACAAATTCCCAGACGGCAGGCAGGAAGTCCGAAAATTTTATTTGCTCTCAGACCTTCACGATCACAGGCCCTGTGTACACCTCCAGCTTTGCCTTCTACCATGTCTGAGCCAGACAAGCTGCTTCCACTTCCCAAGGCTGCCCCTCCTCAGCAGTCAGCCCCAGGGCTTCTCATGGGTACCACCCCCATTTTCTCCAAGAGT